ACATAGACGGTTCTGAGAGAGAAGTGTGCCATGCCAATGCATTGGCGCCAAGCATGGAAGACTGCGACACACTCAAAGGCATCAGTCCAATCGGGGCACCGGTACTGCACATAGGAGACCTGATGATTGGCGCGAAGTAATTTGGATACATGAGCGGTGCAAACGGGTATGACGTCATACCTTCTGTACAACTCGTAATGGGATTTACCGTAATATTCAAAGTTGGCCTTTCTCTGTCCACGTTGGAAAATTCAGGAGGCTGTCGCTCGATTACAACCGTTGGGGACTTGGCTTTCGCCGCAGAAGAGTTTGTGAGGACAGCTGGACTATCTGAACAAGACGCTGTGGTAGCCGATGAAGATACTGGCTCAGAGCCGTGTTCATGGTGTCGATTCCCTGCAGCTTTGGTGCCAATATCTGACTGGTCAGTGTCTGTAAATCGGTCATTATCCAGTCTAGCAATTTTTGTCTTCGGCTGTTCCTCCTCGGAGTTTACACTGTCATCGCTTCCTGAAAATAACGACGTCATGCTGAGCACATTAAAAAAATTTCCCCACCTTCTTCCTCATTTTCAGCATCTGAACCATCTTCATCGCCATTTGCCTTTGGACCGTAACCATTTTTTGACTCATGACAGCCTTGAGATCCGATGGAGCGTTCACTGTCGCTTCCTTTTGAACTGATGAAGCGTCTGAAGCAGAAAACGAGTTAATAATGTGAGTAAACGCATGTTATAAGTTCCGTTGCCTACTTTTTCTCTCGTTTTCCCGCACCAGTGTCTCTGAATCCTTTGGCAAACGGGTTATTGTCGATTTTCAGTTGCGTTATCTAAAACAAGGGATTTGTAAGTTAGCTATTTTTATTCCAATTCTTCTCTTAACCATCATCCCAGAAATCACACTACGGCGAGCACTTATAACAGCCCATTTTATGTACTATTTCGACTATGCACTTAATGATCAAAATATTTATTAAAATGTGCAGTATCTTATTGAATATGAGATACTGATATTGCAATGAGTTGGCAACATATTCTACTGATGCTGTTTCAGCCTAAAATTTTTAGAGTTGTGAATAAGGTTGCATTAAGCATACTGAGAACTGAAAATTGTTGAAATCTTCTTGTGCAATTAAGCAAAATTCGAACCGAAGAATTGTGACAGATTAATGATATGTCAACTTGCTGAAACTTTATGCCAGATTCATACCACGTATGGTGGATTTACAGTGATACTCATTAGTAGAAAACTTATAAACAACTCTATTTCCATTTCTTGATTGCATAGTATTTTTGGAGAATAAATGTCTTGGTTTGGACCATTTTTTCGCCTTAGATAAGAAACGATTCTGGTGGTAGCTGTTGCAGACGACATGAATCAAAGTAATATCACGATACGACTATTTACCGCCAGTAGCAATGAACCAATAGCAGCAGTTCTTCAATGCAAATGGCATAAATATTGAAATCATTACTTTTGGATCAAAAGGTTTCGGATGTCAGTAAGTGGAAAATAGTAAATTGACTATACAAGTTTATTTAATATTGATTCATCTGCAATCAAAGCTTAAAATTACAGTCTTTTCAGGAGGAAACAGCCTCTGGTAGCAAAACTGCTTCATTATC